ACAAACAGGGTACGACGCCAGGTCCTATTTGCCCGGGCTGAAGTAGGGGACTCCATGGGAAAGCGGCCGTCCCGAATCGAAACCCCCAGTTAAAACGCGAGGCCGTTGTGACGAAAAAAAAAAAGACTGGCCCATTCCATTGAATATGAAGAAGGACAGGAGCACGGTAGCAACAGTGAGGCCGGTGGTACCCTTGAGCAGGTCCATAAAAGGGAGACCTGTCGAGGGGTCGATGACAGCATCGAGGTCCTGGATGCAGAAGAGACACACAACCATGAAGATGAAGCCGGAGACGGCACCCATGGTGACGGAGAGCCACATGACGCGGGGAATGTTCTTGCGCGGCGCAGGAATTTCCTCGACGAGGTGGATGGCGGCGTCAAAGGCCGTCAGGCCGTAAGCCGCCTGAACGAGGCCCAGGAACCACGTCACACCATCATTCCAACCTGTCTGGTTGAGCCAGCGGCCAAAGACGAAAGACGCGGGTTGGAACGAGTTGCCGTCCTTAACGCCAACGGAAATGAGGAGCGCCAGTGAAAAGACGAAGAAGAGAGTGACGAAACATATGCCAACAAAGTTGTTAAACATGGGCAGGATGGCGTCTCTGCGGCAGGCGACGATGTTGAAGAGAGTGACGAACGCCGTCACGGCGAGGTAGAGTAGGAAGCGCACCCAACCATGGGCGCCGTCCCAGTCCGGGTCGTACAGAACCTTCATGCTCAGCATGAAGTCGGTCATGAAGGCGACCTGGGAGGCGGAGAGCGTCCACCAGCCGAACTTGTTGATCCAGGCGCAGAGGTAGGACGTGAAGCGCCCCTTGCCGCCGGGCCACAGGCGCCAGATCCAGTAGGCCTGGCCCATGGCGGTGGGCATGGCGCTGCACATCTCGGCGAGGGAGACAGCAACGCAGATGTTGCAGACGAAGACGAGAACGAGGCCCCAGAGGATGGCAACGGGCCCGCCAGCCGTCAGCCCGCTGCTGAGACCCTGGGCGAAGGTAGACCTGTGCCATCATTAGCTGTTGTCGCACTTGTCGCGGTCAAGCGACGAAAAGACGACGAAGAAGAAAAGGGGAAAAGTATTCACTCACCAGGTTCCTAGCACGGAGAAGGCAAGAAAAAACATGCTCCAGAGGCTGAACTTGCGCGTCAAGGTCTCGGCATGGCCCAGCTCGGCGAGGTCGAGAGCATCTTGTACAGCCTGGTCAGCGGTGGGCAGACGCTTGAGATGGGCCTGCGATTCCGCGTCGCCTTCAGCCGGGGGAGGCGACATGGCTGCGGAGCTCTGATGTGGAAGAGACGAAGAGAATTGGCTATGATTCTTCTCGCAGGGGAAAATGGGGATGAAATTTTCGGACCTCGAAGAAAGTGCAGTGTCGGTCTCCTGTCACTCGAAGGCGGGACAGCAAGCCCCTAAATGCGATCTCATCACTGGTGATAGGGAAAGGGTGGCAGAGGTTGCTTTGCTGCTCGTCGACAGCTCAATCTCGGGCTGGACGACCTTGAGCTTCGATCCTTTGTGACACACACCCACGCACACGCGCGCGCCCACACACACACACACACGAACAACAACCTACCTACCCCGGGTTCGGCACCCCTACCCAGGCTGTCGTCACTGATAAGAGTGGGTGTGACCCGGTTTGTCTGCCCTAGGCTATTTCGAGTAGGGGTTTAGGCCCCATCTCCAACTTTTGGGTCCCCGGCGTCCTTGAGACCATACTACTAGACCCCCACCCCCGAACGGTCGGGATGCTCATGCTGATTGCTGATACGGGAAGCTTCTGGGGCTGGGAGGTGTGCCTACCTTATTCCCTGCAACTGACACTGGCTGTCTGTCATTCGTGAAGGGGAGGCGATGGCTGCCAGAGTACCTCAGGGTTTCGTTGCCATTGGTACGCCACTCGTGCCTTCATGGCCACATATGTCACCGAGCAGGCAAATGGCTGTCCCAGGCTTCTGCCCTGGGCCGAGACGGGGCTTCCAGCACGCATCTATCTGCCCAGTCGATCGTGGTCCACCCGGCCAGGGGTGCTGGGTGAGGCATTCTGTTCTGTTCGTCGATAAGCCAGGGAAGGATCCGGCTATCGCGGCCAGGCCGTCGTCCTCAAGGGGTTCATACTCGTTCGTTCTCATGACTCAAGTCTGGAAAGACGCCCACACGAAGCTCCTCCAAAACGAAACGTGGATAGATGTTCCTCGTTGACACTGACCGGCCCGGGAGCTTGGTCAATCTGCGACACGACGGAGCCGTTACCAATCTCTGAGAACGGCCGATAGCTGCATCAATGGCATCGGACTGCAGGTATGCCATGCACGGTCTCGTGGGTCAGCTGGCAGGTCACTTCAGCACCCGGTCCGGGGCTGAGATTGTGCAGCCCGTGGCATCCGCCCGCCGTGGCCGCCATACCTGTTCGGGCAAGAATTTGGACACGACCGCCTTGTTGCAGCACTCTGCTTTTCGTCTCCTTGTGCGCCCCAAAGTGAACCCCCCTTCCCCTGCCCCTCCATCATAGGCTCCGGGCAGACAAGTTCGTTTCCCATGACCAGCTCCGCCCGATCGCTCGCCGCTGGCCACGCCGCCTTACCACAACCGATTGGCCCGGGCCCGTTACGTCTCAGTCACGGATTGCGTTAGGTATGAGCATCACCATGCTCGGTCTATGGGAGGCCGGGGCCCTCCGCTCATCACACCATGCTCCTCTCGTAAAGAGGCAACAGAGGGGAGGGGAGGGGAGGAGAGGAGGGGCGGAAACACCACCACCTTGGGGTCCAGTCTATAAGAGCCTCTCCCCGAAGAAACAGCTTCGTCTTGAATCGGGTTTCCAGTCACCAGAGCCGACCAACATCTCCTCATTGACCGACTGGATTTTGCACCCTTCTGGGTCATCGTCACATTATTTGCTCCAACTCCTTGCCTTGTCTCTTGACACTTACACCACGTCGTTTCCCCCCGCTCTCCCAATATACGTACGGTACGGTACCAGCCCGTTTTGAACAACCACCTTATGGCAGGTTTCTGCAAACACGAAATTGAAAATGATTGTCGACACATCTTCAATTGCAGGTTACACAATCTTTCGGGAAGAGGCCAGCGACGCCGCGCCCGACTTGTCCAAGGCCCGCTCAGTCCATCCCTTAGACCAGCTATCGATTGAAGAGATACGTGCCGCCGCTCACCTCATCCGCCAACATGCCGACCCCAAGGTCGTCAAATTCAACTGCCTGACGCTCCACGAGCCCAGAAAGCTCGAGTATGCCGCCTTCCGTGCCGGCCGTGGACCCCGTCCTGACCGTCGTGCCTTCGCCATCGTCCTCGAGAGGGGCACTTCGGACGTCGCGGAGGTTGTCGTGAACCTGACCAGGCTCAAGGTCGAGAACTGGAAGCCTGTGGCCGACGTTGCACCGACCCTAACCCTCGAGGACCTCGACGTCTGCGAGCGCGTTGCCATCGCCGACCCCCGTGTCATTGAGGCGTGCCGCGAAATCGGCATCACCGACATGGCCAAGGTCTTCATTGACGCCTGGGCCATCGGTTTTGACAACCGCTGGGGCATGGAGCGCCGCCTCCAGCAGGGTATCGTCTACTACCGCAACTCGCCCAACGACAACCAGTACGCTCATCCCCTCGACTTTAGCGTCGTCGTCGACACGGAGCGGGAGGAGGTCCTCGCCGTCGACATTCGTCATGTCGACGGCAAGCGCGTGCCTGTGCCCCTGCGCGAGCACAACTACCTGCCCGAGTTTGTCGCCGACACGTTTGTTCACGACAAGCTCAAGCCCATTGACATCACTCAGCCTCAGGGCGTCTCGTTCAGCATGAACGGCAGCGAGCTCACCTGGGCTGGCTACAAGATGCACATTGGCTTCAACTATCGCGAGGGCATCGTCATCTCCGACGTCAGCATGTATGACCATGTCGAGCAGCGTGACAGGGCTCTTTTCAACCGCATCAGCGTTGTGGAGATGGTCGTCCCGTACGGCAACCCCAATCCCCCTCACCAGCGGAAGCACGCCTTTGACGTCGGCGAGTACGGCACTGGTCTCATGACGAACTCGCTGAAGCTGGGATGCGATTGCAAGGGCGTCATCCACTACATCGATGCCATCATGACGACTAGCTCGGGCGAGCCCGCCGTCGTCAAGAACGCCATCTGTATCCACGAGGAGGATAACGGCCTCCTTTATAAGCATACCGACTATCGCGACGGCACCGTCACCTCAGCTCGTGACCGCAAACTCATCGTCTCGCAAATCATCACGGCCGCCAACTACGAGTATGCCTTCTACCACACCTTTACCCTTGATGGCACCTACAAGCTCGAGATCAAGTTAACGGGCATGCTCAACACTTATCTGCTGCACCCTTCGGAGACAGCCGCCCCGTTTGGCACCGAGGTGGCGCCTGGCCTCGATGCCCACAACCATCAGCACATCTTCTCGCTGCGCGTCGATCCTGAGATTGACGGTCCTCGCAACACCGTTGTGCAGAGTGATGCTGTTCCCGCTGACGACCCTGTCGGTAGCCCCGGCAACCTTTATGGGAACGGGTTTTACTGCAAGAAGACGCCCCTCCTGACGGCCAAGCAGGGTGCCGTCTCGTACTGTCACGAGACGAGCCGCTCCTGGGACATTACGAACCCGAACCGCCTCAACCCCTCGAGCAAGAAGCCAGTCGCTTACAAGATTCTCAACAACAACTGCCCTGCTCTCCTCTCGAAGCCGGGCAGCAATGTCTGGAAGCGCGCTGCCTTTGCCCGCGAGTCGCTCTGGGTCGTTCCTTATCGCGACCACGAGCTCTTCCCGGCCGGCGACTACGTGTGCCAGTCTACGGGCGAGCTGGGACATGCTCACAACCAGGCTGTGCTCGACTGGGTTGAGCGTGATGAGCCAATTGATAACACCGACATTGTCTGCTACATCCAGTTCGGGCTGACCCATTTCCCGAGAACCGAGGACTTCCCCGTCATGCCGGCAGAGCCTGTCAGCGTCATGCTGAGGGCGAGCAACTTCTTCGAGAAGAACCCTGCGCTCTGGGTCCCGCCGACGGCCATCCTGGGTGATTCCGTCTCGAGGGATGCGTTTGGAAAGGGGGACGCCAAGGGTACCTGCTGCTCTGGATCGCTGAATGTGTCGTCGAAGCTCTGAAGGGTCCTTTCGTTGTGGTGGCTCGGTGGTAGTGTGATAGTCTAGAGGACGTATTCAACCTGTTTTGACGTCGAAGATGTGCCGTTATTTTGGGTGAACCGAGACCTCGTCTCTGGGGGTGCTGCCACAAATTCGGACGTACTCAGTGCTCGCAAGCCTGCCGTAGGAGCATGTATTGCATGCCATAAAAGTGCAACCAATGTCGCGATCACTCTTTATCGTCCTCGTTTGAGGCGCTGATTTTCTTGGCCTTGTCGACAGTCACTTTGTGCTTGGTAGAAACCTTGTATACCTTTAGTGCCGCCCATTTCTGTAGGTTGATAAACTGCGTGTTAGTGGACTTGATGTCCCTGAAAAGTCACAGTACAAGACTTCGCGAACACCTTGTTCTGATCAAGCAGGCACGGTCACACTTTGAGTTTGGATGGCACGCCCGCCTCGGTCTTTTCAAGGGCACATGCGCCTGTCTGTGGCGCTTTGGGAATGTCTATCGATGCAGGATGTTTTGCGCTAGCAGATGCCAAGATCAACACGAGAGTTGTCCACATCAACCGTGGAAGCATGTTGTGCTGCCTGATCACCGTCATGTAACTGTGACCCATTTTCTGCTTTCTTTCTAGCAACCAGAGCATATAGACCTGTTTATCATGCAGCGTTTGGTCTAGTTTGAATTGCATGGGCATAGACGCGTAGACTGTGATTCAAGGCACAAAGTCTCCCAGGGGCGTGGACCATGTCCACAATGCCTCCAGGTTCATGCACGACGCACGACGTGAAATGGGACCGAGAAGGGCATATCCGCTCTCTTGATGGTGTGCTATGATCCATAGGAGTGTTGTTCAAGCTCATGGTCGGCTATCAAACGGTATCCAACCACACCATTGTGACGGAAGAAGGACGCTTTGCCCTGTTGTACTTCGTGGCAGCAGACGCGCTCATCGATCTCGTTCCAGGCAAAGGATGCGATATATTCCGGACCAAGTCAGGAGAGTACGAGCATAGTATCCGACTACGGGTCTAGCAGACCTTGGTCCCCGAAGACCAGAGCACTGGACAACACGGTCTCCGTGTAGCCAAACAAATACGACCACTACAGGCACAAGTTGCAGCACCAAACTTTCAGCTGGGGCAGTCAGATGGATGCGTGCATGCCCGAAGACCGAGCATCCACTCCTCCACGGCGTAGTCAGAAGCGCTATCTACACCCTACGGCGTCGCGCGGAGATGGGTACACATGCATTCCTCGACGAGCAGTGTAGAGTCGAGCAAACAGCACACCACACCTTTAGGCTCTCCACTAGATCATTCTGAAATTCGAGGCATCTATCTAGACTTTGCTGGAATCCGGCGAACCTGGCAACATCCGTCGGGGGAATGGCTGTCTTTTTTAACGGCGCATGGAAGGATGGCGGCCAACATCTTTCCGACCTCTTCACGGGTACCGACCTGGCGGAGAAGGGAAGGTCACTCCAACCTTCCGTTGGCAAAAGTACGGCGGTAGTCCGAGGCATGATAATGTAGGTGCTGAAGAGCACATCTTGCCGTCAAAATTTCTTCTCACCTGCAGGATCGTGGCTGGGGGACTTGGAGTTGATCTCGTGCAAAGACATCTGACAAGACGTTCCGTGGCAAAAGGTTCACCGAGGCCACAGAGAGCAAAGCTGCAATGGTCGTCCAGAGTCCAGGGTTCCAGCTAGGATCCTCGAGGTCGAAAGGCCCTCGAGAACCGCCGAGGGGCTCAAAACCCCCGCACAGCATCTGGAACAGCTGTGATTCGAACAAGAAGAAGGATGCATAGATTGGCATGACGACTTGCAGCTTCCAATGCGCTGATCAAGAGGATGCTTTTGCAGGCCACAGCACACATGTACGTCCATCCGGACTCATACATTGCACGACTACAGCGCAACACCATGGAACGCCTTAGCGGCCTCTCATCAGTTCCTACACCGCACGCCTTTGCAGCATGTAAAGCGGCTCATCATCATCTTTATTCGTTCTACTCCCCGGCAGCCACAAGCAGCGGGACGAGTCCTCATCAAACGCAAGTATCGACGTCTAGCACGCCCCTCACGTGGCGTGGGCCACACTTCATAGCCTCGCCGCGTCTTTTTCGCTTCCAACCCCCCCCTTTACTCGATGACAAAGTTGTCTGCAACCGACTTGATCTCCTTGGAGAACGTCACGTCTTCGTTTTCGTCCAGCAACGAAACAGTCGTTACCTGTACAGCATTAGATCTGGCTTATAGGAAATTGGAAAGAGGAACAAGGGTCGTCACTTACGTCCACATCAACATAGGGCGTTGTCTTGGAGAACCGGACTGTCATGGGGAAGAAGTCGTTCTCGTCGTTCGTCTCGGCCTCAAACTCAAAGGAGCCGCTGGGGTTCTCATCCGTCACGCTGCCAATGTTCCATTCAACCGTGTCGCCAGAGACGTCGTATGCGGCATCGAAGCTTGACACGACGGGCTCGCTCGCCTGGTAAGGGATGACGACGCTGACGTCGGTGAGAGGGTCGCCGCCCGTGAGCTCGTACTCGACGGTCAGGTTGTACTTGCCGCCGTCGTTGTTGATCCAGACGGTAAATGTGATGGGGCAGGCGCTGGGGTCGTCGGCCTTGGGCGTGGCACGCCACACTCAGGACGCCGACGGCGTTGTTGACGGGGAAGCCGGCCGCGCGTTGCTCATCTGGATGATCTTGGAGTCGTTGAACAGGTTGCGGTTGACGTTGGGGTGCGTCCTGAACTGTGCGCCTTGGGTTGGTGTGGCTTGGAGGTTGAGCTTGACCTTGGTCAGGCTGGGATCTGAGATGCGGAGGGTGAGATCACCGCTGAGAAGAAGGAAGTTGACGGCGCCCTCGCGGGACAACTTCGCGCGGATGGCTTCCGTGACGGTGACGTGGATAGCGTCCCCGGTCCATAGTTGTGGACGCGCGCTCCACCCGCGGGCTCGGCGGCGGCGTGTTGCACGACGGGCACGATCAGGGGGCTGTCCTCGACCTCGGCACCCATCTCGCCACGCACGCGCTCGAACATGTCGGTCGTCTTGGACTTCTTGCCCAGCTGCATGCCCTTGCCCTTGGGGGCGTTCGCCTTGTTGAACGTCTTGTTCTTCTCGGCCTCGTACGAGTCGTACGTATCGGTCGTCGTCGGGCGAGCAGGTGGGGTGTAGGTCGGGTACACAGGGGTCCTGGGCATACCACCGCCAGCACGGCCCGTCCTCGCCGTCTCCTTGCGCTGCATCTCGAGCTGCTTCGCCTTGCGCTTGCGTTCCTCGGTGGCCTCGAGCTCTTTGTTCTAGAGATTCTTGTTAGCATCATGGCAGTCAGAGACACACCAGCCAAACGACGCACCCTCGCGATGATCTCCTGGATCCGCTCCTCGTGACTCTCCATCTCCAGGAAGGTCTTAATCTGGCTGATGGTGAGGTTCTCCCTGTAGCCTAGCGTCACGAGCTCATCGAAGGCACTGAGCAGCTCGTAGGCGTTCTTCAGAATCTCGCGCTCATCGAGGGTTCGGCATGTGCTGGTGACAACCTGGGCGAAGAGGTGCAGAGAGTCAATGTCCTGCAGAATGTTGGACTGGCGGTTGGTGATGAGGACCATGTAGAGCTCGTCCAGCGGCTGGTACACGAATCGGACATTGTCCTGCTCGACGGTGGTGTGCTGGGTTCCCGAGTCGGCGAGCTTGGGGAAGGAGGCGAGAAGTCCCTCGATGCGCGATCGTGGCATCTCCCTGAACTGGCGGGAGAGGACAGCTTTCCCGCCGCGGGTACAGATGGAGGCTGCGAGGACGACCTGGATGCAGTCAGCACTTTGGAGGGGAGCACAAGCGGCGACTGGCTCGAACAGAAACCTACCATGATTGATGAAAGGGGAGTGATGTAGCGGATGTATGGTGTTGAAAGTCGCGAGGGTCGAAGTACTATCGCAATGCCCAAGGCGGCTCAAGGAGGGACCTAACAGCTCGGAATTTGGATGTGTGGAATCTGGTCAATGCACAGACCAAGTCACCTCTCAGGCTCAGGAGGTGAGTGAGTGCTCCTATGTGCTGCCACTTTACTTGCCAATTGGCAGGTGGCAGCCAGGCAGGCAGGCAGACAGCCTCGAGGGCGACTAAGCCCAGAGAAGGCTAGACTTAGAATGGGCCTCACGCAGCTCGACGTCGACGGTACGTACCTTCACACACAGGCCAGGTACCCAGGTCGGTCGGTACCTTGCAAAGAGGGGCCCGCCAGCGCCTTCTAACCTTTTCATTTTCCCTGCATCATTTCCCGGCGCGCCGCAACTGACAACCTCATCAACGTCGCACCTAGGCACGCCTGCGTCTTCTGCCTGGTATTGTCACGCTCGCCGCAAACTTGCACGGCCTTCCCCAAACGTGTCACGCCAGCTCTGGGTCTCGTCTCTGAAGCTGCCTAGCAGAGTCCACGCGTTCCAGCACCCTGATCGCTGACAAGACTCGACTTCTCGCCATCGACTTCCCGTTTCGGCCATCTCGATAATCGAACACCCGGCCTAGGTGCCGAAGAAGCTTCCCGTCATTCAACTCTGCGAGAAAAACCGAAACCTATCCAACGCAAACCTGCCGCTCCTGCCTCGCGCCAGCTCACAAGGGATTTCTGTCATATTCCAACAATCGCGTTCGGGGTCGGGCCACTACAAGCCGAACACTGTAAATCCTCGCAGCATCACCGGATCGAGGCAATATTCTTTGTCTCGATCTATCATCGCTGCGGAAATAGTCGGCTAGAGGCGCCAAATCATCACGACAGTCGAGCCTCGGGGCTCAGAGCCAAATAAATGGCAACCGACCTGGCATCGCCGGTAGGCCTTGCCCATCCGGACGAAGCTGAATATATCGATTATTCCGACGACGAGCCTGATACCTCCCCTATCAAGCCCAACGCGGATTCAACATCGTATTTCGAATCGGCAAAGCCCGCTGTCGAGACCTCCGAAAGCACACAAGGTGACTCTGCCGGCGTCGCAGAGTTACTCGCCGAAGACCTACACGATGCCTCTGACGTGGCAACCACGGGCGGGGAACCACTGCCCCAAAGCGATGCTGTCCTTGCCGACGGCGTTCAACACGACGACCCAGGTTCTATCGCGCAAGTTGCCGACGCCGCCGAAAATGGCCTGGTCGAGAACGAGATTGGTTGGGAGGGCGAACAACATGACGAACAAGATGAGTCGATGCAGCAAGACGATGCCGTTGCCGATCAAGACCAGCAGTATCAGGAGCATGCTGTGCAGTACCATGCTATTGCTGATGGCCAGCTTGCGAACACCTTTAAGGATGCCCAGAGCCATCAAGCACAAGACCAGGGCGCAGAAACAGCGTCCGCTGTCGACGGTGCCGTCAGTGCTCTAGACCAGTCTATGCAAGAGAATGATGAACTGAACAATGAACTGAACGAGATTGATTACGAGGACGATGGCGCGATGACAGCCGAGACCACAGAGGGAGATCTTGAAGCCCAGCATGCAGATGAAGAGCTGGAGCACGAAACGGAAGAGAATGTTGCGTTGGCGCAGGAGGTGCCTGAGCCTTCTTCTGTCGAAGAAGACGCCTCGCACGAGGCACTCCTTGATGACCAAGGAGAAGGTCGCGATGACGAAGCAGGCGCCGAACCGAGCACGAATGCCGAGGCCCTGATTGCCGATTCATCTGCTGCATCCCTCGACACCCCTGACGAGGAAGATGCGCAGATGCCGGTCGTCACCGTCACGTGGCATGGCGTGGAGTACCCCATGTTCTACAATTCTGTGGGAAGTGAAGGTCGAGACTGCTTCTTTCATGATCTGAGCGTCTTGCAATGCAAGATGGAGGAGCTGTTGGCAAGCTTGCGACGAGTTCTGGTGGACGACGTTGCAGAGTCTGATGAGCTCGTCTTGCAAGTGGAAGAGCTAGGACTCGAATTTGCAGAGGTAGGATGATTCTTCACCCATGTGCGTACCTCACTGCTAACCATCCACCAGTCAAGCCATCCCGACCATTTCTCTGAGATTACGCTCGGGAGCATCCTCCAGGTCTTCGATCACCTTGTGAAAAACAAGGACCCAGAAGCAACGAGGCCGATGTACGCGCTTTTGATCACACGCCCAAATTGTAGCAAGCGATGGTCTTCCCTTATAGAAGATGCATGGAACGGGAAGAACATTGACGAAGTCGGCTACTCGTTTCACTCACGAGACCAAGAGGCCATCGAGGAAGCTGAGGTGGAGGCCGAGGACGCTGAGATGTTCCTTAACCAGGACGACCTTGATGACGACATGGGTGGGGATTTTGACGACTTGGTTGAGCAAGACAACGAAGCAGACCATGAGCTCCATGACTCTGCTGACGAAGGTCGGGACGATCCTGAGTTGACTAACGATGCTGACGAAGGCACGACTACCCTCGATGCCAATGAGCTTGACCTCACGGTCGACGCGGCTGGCGACGTAGCTGCTCTTCAAGACTCTGAACAAATTGCGCCCCTTGAGACGGACACATTGACATCCGTCACGGCTGTAGACGAAACAGACATCAATGCCAGTGCAGCAGACGCCTCGATGCTGGATGATGTTGCTGCCTTGGGCGAATTCGACACGGTACCAGACCCAGATGCCACTGTGCTCGCGGAGCTCGACGAACCTGTCACCACGACTGCATTGCTGGAAGACGTGAATGCGTCCATTCAAATGCCTGAGGCGATCGATGGTGACGGCCAACAGGCGACCGAACTGAATGGTATTTCCATCACATTTTCTTCACACCCCTGTTCCTCCCCCGACTTCTGTCTATGTTCGGATTGCCTTCTTGGGGCACTTGAAGAGCGACAACGCGAAGAAAGCAATTTTCGCTTGGATTGTCTTGCCCGAGGTCATTTGGCGCGATGCCCAGCCCAGACTGAAGTCCACCGTCCCCGACACCTACGTACCCCCTCCGATATGAGCACATCCTATTCCACCACTTCGTATACTAACAATCTTCTTGAAGCACCTCTTCTCGGCGACGAATACAACCCCTTGCTCGCTGCAGAAGCAAGCAACAATGGTCCGAATGAGCAGCAACAGACAACTGGATACGCAGGCATTGATGAACAATTAGGCCTGGAGCCAGATGAAACTGGCGTCGATATGTCTGTTGTCAACCAGGGGACCCCGGTTACCAGCGCGACCGCGACCCTAGACGGCGACGAGGTAGATGATCTAGGCGCCGAGATCGACCTGACAGCCGACATACCACAAGATGGAGAGACAATCAATGGAAACTCTGAGCACGGCCCTAATGACCTCGAAGAGATTGACTGGCGAGATTTTCCCGGGGACGGCGATGATGAGGTTTCCCACGAGTCTACATCAGTCTCTGGAAAACGACCCAGGACTGACGAGGACGACCTGCTAGGTGCCGAAGACGAGCAAGGTACGATTGCACCTTCTGACAGGACTTACTGCCTATGCTAACTTCTTGACAGACGCAAAACGTCTTCGGTCTTGACCTGACATCCCCCCCTTTACATTTCACTAACCTTCAACACCATTGCTCGGTCCAGCACAGAGGGACGCGAAATGCCACTGCATGCGATGGCCATCGTCCTGCAGGAGCGATGTGATCGCCCGGGGCATGTGTCCGAGTCCGCCCGGAACACCGACAGATATTTTGATTCTCCCTGCCATTTTATCCACCTGCGAGGCAGACTGGGTAGGGAGAAAGTGAGTGTGAGAGAGAGAGAGAGAAATGCATACGCAAGAGGTAGGGTCCTTGAACACTTTGACGAACTAATCACACAGCTATGACCTGAAGCTCGGCCGCCTTTGAACGACCACCGGGCATGCAACCCCCCAATGGACGCCATTGTCTGCGCGTGCCTGTTTAAGTGATTTCATTCATCAGCATCATACCCCTTGGTACTTGCCAATGTTTTCAAGGTTCGATTGGCGTACGGCGCAGGAAGGCTTTATGTAAGGGCCGGATTGGAGAGAACGTCATGGGCCTCCGGAACATAAAAGGGCGGTGGTCTCGACGCCTGCCGTGACCACCATTGTACGATAGCTTTCTGTGACTTCGGGCTGGCTCACGAGTTGGTGGCGTGTAGCCATTGGTTGAGAACCGTCAACAGCTGGGACGCCTGCAGGACACGTTAGGCCATGAGGAAGAAAGACAGCAAGTCAGTAGTAAACAGCAGGAGGAGGCGGCTGTCAGCATGATGAAGGGGTGCCGAGTTGTTGATCATCTCCCATCCCTTTTCACGGGCTCGGTCAATGGGTTTGTGGATACATGAAGAGGCAACACACGATACTCGGAAGTAGCTATGTATTATTGAATTGAATCTGAACAAAAAGAGTTTGCTTGTCCTGTCAGGGTGTACGACAAGGGATTTATCACGGCATCGATGGCACGCAGATGACCTGGACGAGGAATGCTGAGGGCGCTCGCTGGGACACATGTTTCTAATGGTGGCCTCGGCGCGGGCCCAGTCCAATTAGCTTAGGTAAAATGCCACGAGAGGTGACGTGTGTTTTAGGCGAAAACAATGAGCGAGGGAGCCTGGGTCCGGTGTGGACGCGTTTGCTGCTGCGCCGATTGCGATTCGTATCGGATCCACAAGGGATGGGGGGGGGGCTATTGCGAACCGTATCGTGTTGTGCGGTGGACAGGACAGATGGAGACCTACCCGCCATCTCAGGCACCTAGTCCAAAGGGACTACGGGAGAAAGAGGCGAGATGCGGGTGGTTGGTTGGTTGGTGTACATGGGACATTGGCAAGGACTTGGATGGCTTCGTGGCAGGGAGTGGGATAGGGATCGTTTCCAGGGATGTGCACCCACATTTGTTTGCGTTTGCGTTTGGATTTACAGATGGGAGACTTTTTCTTTCCGTCTTTTAGGCTTTCGATGCATCAAGAAAGAGGGTGGGGGGGAGGAATACGATCTGTTCTCTCGCCCACCGCACTCGATCGTATTCTCTAAGTCATTACGTAGTACCTAGACACCTGGCCCCCAATCTTGCCCGCGGGCACCGTGGCCGAGTCCGGCCTGTGCGCCGTGTCAGCGAGGACCTTTGCTTCTCATTCTGCGCGCAGATTCAGTAGCAATGAAAAGACGACGACGGTTCCAGGGGGCGGCGCGTCAGAGGACGGAGGGGGGAAAGGGTAGATGAAGCCAGGTTCGGCAGAATGCTGCATATAGATTCAGGGGTGGGCCCACTCACTAGCCACAGGGAGCCGTGATCAGCTTTGGAGTTTCCTGGCTGAGCGTCTCGCCATTTCGAGCGGAGTCATGTTCACACTGTAATTTTGGTACGGTGGGCTCGTGACAGAATACAGTGTGAGAGAACGCTGAGGTCAGCGGGTTTCCGGGGGGGTTAGTGAAGCTGTACCTGAGTGCTGTGGATGCTACCAAGCCAGGGGGGTCGCTGCGTGTAGCCAGGGGTTGGCTCTGAAACTGGCGAAGCCACTGGTTCAGGATCACGCTACGTAGCGCTTCCCGCCCATTCGCCTGTTACCTGTGACCTGGGGAGCTGGGGGGGGATCCTCCCACCCCTGGCCAGGCCCTCCGAACAGTACCTACCTGCCTACCTAGGTACCCAGGTACCCAGCTTCGGGCCTGTGTGGCCTGTGTGGCCTGTGTGGACTGTGTGGACTTGTGGCCTGTGTGGCCTGCTGTCTGCCAGGACTCTCCAAGGTCGCTGGTCCGTCCACCACTGGCACTAACTCAGTCCCTGTTCGTCTGTCTCTCTCTGCCTTGTCCTCGAAAATCCAAAGGTGCCCACGACAACATCCTTTCCTCCCCTCCAACCAACGGCCGCGAAACGAAATCACCACGACCTGAGGGCATCTGCGCCGATTCACGACAACCAGCATTGTCAATCTCTCTGCGCGCCGTCATTGACCGAGTCTGTCTCTCCGTCTCTCATCAGCGAACCCCATCCACGAGATCTGGACCTGGAAGCACGACCCATGCACTAGCACCGAACCGCCCAGCACGACCCGGCCATCCCCTTTAAAAAAACGACTCTCGAATCACTCCATCACCAGCGCGACTGTTCGCTCTGCGTGACCGACGACACGCGACGCTCGTTTGCTTCTCGACTGGCCATCACTGCGCCCACGCGCGACACTCTTTCCCGCCGTCTCAGGACCGCGGCCGACACCTTCCATCATGATGCTGGAAGAGAAGTGCGTTTTCTTTGCGACCCACCTATTTTTGGCGGCAGCGAAACACGAGGCTCGAGGGGACAGGTTGCGCTGACACGACTGCCGTTCTTTAGGTACATTGGCCTGGCGCTGGCCATAGCATCAAGTTTGGCAATTGGTATGCGTCTCGTTACTTTTTCTATCTCGGCGTCTTTGACAGCTCGCTAACCTCGTACTCTCGCAGGTGTGAGCTTCGTGATCACGAAAAAGGTATTTCCTCGGCCAGACCAACGTGCGTCCGGCTGCTGCTGCGTCGCACAGCAAAGCCGAAATCGACGCCATTCGGACCCGACGTGACTGACATCTCGACTCTCCAGGGACTCATACATGCGGAAGAACGGCACGGCTTCGAAGGTGATGGCTACGTCTACTTGAAGAGCCCGATATGGTGGGCTGGAATTTCGACACGTACGCAACACCCACATGGCTGAGCCCCTCCCCTCCGCCGACGCACGCGCTGCCGGCGAAGCTGCGTTGAGCCGAGCTAACATACCCTTTAGTGGTCCTGGGAGAGATTTGCAACTTCGCCGCCTACGCCTTTGCGCCAGCCATTCTCGTGACCCCCCTCGGCGCTTTGTCCGTCCTGATCGGAGCCGTCCTTGGATCCTACTTCCTCAACGAGCAGCTCGGCGTTTTGGGCAGGCTGGGAAGCGCCATCTGTCTTCTCGGTGCCGTCATTATCGTTCTGCACGCCCCGCCTGATGAGGACATCCAGACCATCGACCAGATTCTGCACTATGCCATCCAGCCCGGTACGTCCTCCCACTTGGCTTCCGGAATTGCGTGTGTCTCTTCTTGTGCGTCCAGGCGCTCATCGTGTTGCGCCAGGTTTTCTGTTCTACGTTTTCGCCGTCAGCGTCTTCGCCGTCGTCATGATTTACAAGATTGCTCCCGTCTACGGAAGGAAGAGCCCCCTCATCTACCTGCTCATTTGCTCGACCGTCGGCTCCGTCTCAGTCATGTCGGTCAAGGCCTTTGGCATTGCCCTGAAGCTCACCTTTGCGGGCCATAATCAGTTCTCGCACCCCTCGACCTACGTCTTCATGATCTTGACCACCGTCTGCATCCTGACCCAGATGAACTACTTCAACAAGGCGCTTGCTCACTTCCCTACCAATATGTGAGTTGAGATGCGCTCTGGTGCTTGTGATTTTGACTGACAGGTTTGGCGCAGCGTCAACCCCCTCTACTACGTCACCTTTACGACCTTTACCCTCTGCGCCTCTTTCATCCTCTTCAGCGGCTTCAACACGACCGACGTTGTTAATACACTCTCCCTCCTCAGCGGCTTCCTGACGACATTTGCCGGCGTCTACCTGCTGAACCTCTCAAGGTCGGACCCGCACGGCCAGAAGATGGTCTCTGGCCGCGGCGGCCCCGACGCCACCGGCACCGACATGGTCTCGAGCATCCAGACCCGTCTCAGTCTGCAGGCCAGGAGGAGCACGGATCCCCGGCACAGCATGAGCAGCCACCACGGCGACACGACGGGCCTGATGCGGGCCTACGACGAGGAGGCGGGTGCCGAGTTTGGCCTCACCGACCTGGCCGAAGACAGCGACGACGACTCGCAGACGGGCCGCGTCAACGGCAATGCCAACGGCAACGGCAAGTCAAGAGGCCACAACGAGATCGAGATGCAGCCTCCGAGGTCACACGACAGATAAAACCTGCACCCGACCGAATCTGTCGATTTACCTGAATTGCATGACACATGGAGCACGAACCCAGCCTCGCCCTCAGGCTCGAACGGCGGCGGCTTGTCTTTACATCTCGACGCATCGCCGACCCCATCCCACCCTGTACACGTATCATACGAGACAGGGTACGGGGGTCACTGTACATTTTTTATTCCATGGACCAAGGCCCGGGGGCGGGGAGCCGAATGAATGAAGACCTTTCTATTTCTCCTTGCGGGGGCCGCAGCACAGGGAAGGGGGCCAGGGACTCATGAGACACACATAACTGAAGACGAACGACAGGTGCTCCCCGTACACACACAGAGAGAGAGTTCCACGAGACGAATGACCCGTCGGCGCGGGGGAACACCAACGAAGGCGCGCCCCTGGCAGATTCCCCTTGATCATTGCGGGGGGGAGGAAGCGCGTAGTTCCAAAATAGGGAAATGGGGGGGCGGGATTTATCGGCGTTTTTTTTACTTTATCGGGATGGATTTGCTACGTGTTCGCTCTATTTGATGTTTTTTTTTTACACTTCGGTTTGCGCGGCCGTCATGACATACATGGTGGGGGTTTTTATTTTTTAATTTTTGTTTGCACATAGCATCAACCTTTGGGGAGCGAGTCCGCTGTACGATCAGATCGGGAGGGTGGTTGTGCGGGGGTTGGGTGAGGGTCAAGACCGAAAGGGTGAAACGGGGGCAGAAGGGGGGTGCCACCCGCCCGGGACGGGGTAGGCCTCTCCCTGTTTCTATCCCCGCCCGTTTGAGGGCACACCGGCGGCACGGCAGTCATAAGAAGAGCAGTCTCACCATGATGGAAGGTTACTAACAACATTTGACCAGCTCCGACGAGGCCCCATCCTGCGATTTTTTTCGCCGGGGGGACGCTAATTTCCGGGGTAGGCCGTGACGCGAGACTCGGCAGTTCATCACGACAGGCAAATATCACGGGGGAAACGAACAAGTTTGGTCAAAAATATCTCTCGTTGCTTCTTTAACTTGTTGTCATCATTACAAGCCAGGCGCAACCAGACGTTTTCCGGAAAAAATCCCTTTGCCGCAGTGTGATGCAAATGATCAAGACGCCTTTGTTGGTAATGAAACCAGCCCTCCTTTCCGTGCTTTACCCTTTCCTCTTTATTTTTTTCCCCTCTTTCGGGGGGGGAAACGAAAAAAAAGAAGTAGGGTGGTGCATCAGGCGCCCCTCCGAGCCGTTGCTCTTCGATTCCCGTGTGCCCAGCTCCTCAGAACCCGAATCCCCGAGTGAACTCGTAGTGGCGCATGGCCAGGAGTTCCGATTCGGAGAAGCGGACGTCGGGGAGGTCAGAGGCGACGGCGTCGGCGGGCGTCTGGTGCGGCTGCTGCTCGCCACGATCAGAAGCCTCCTACTGCTGCTCAGCGGGCGCCGCCTCCTCGCCACCCTCCTGCTGCTCCTCGGCCCGCGCGGCCTCGGCCTGGGCCTGGGCGGCGGCAGCCTTGGCGCCGTAGTCCTGGCTCATGGGCTGGACGACGGACTGCTCCTCCTTGGGCTCGATGATGGTGACGGCGTCGGGGAGGGACTTCTGGGGGCCGGACTTGCCCTCGGGGTCGGAGCCGCGCATGATCTTGACCTTGATGCCGAGGACACCCTGGCGCAGCAGGACGTGGCGGGTGGCGTGGTCGATGAAGTCCTTGGCGGGCTGACCGGAGTGGATCATGAAGCCGTCGGTGAACTTCATGGACTTGGCGCGGGCGGCGCGGAGCTTGCCGGAGACGACAACCTCGCAACCCTTGGCGCCCGACTCCATGATGAAGCGGAGGACACCGTAGCAGGCGCGGCGGACGGCGAGGCCGTTGAGGAGCTTGTAGCGGAGGGACTCGCACTGGGCGACGGCGGAGAGACCGCGGTTCTGGACCTTGGCGGCGTACAGGGAGACGCTGTTCTCGGGGAACTTGAAGCGCTTCTGGATGAGCGAGGTGAGCTCGCGGATGCGGCGGCCCTGCTCGCCGAGAACCTCCTGGGTGTGCGTCGCGCGGATGATAATGTCGGTGACGGTGGGGGTGACGCGGACCTCGACGCCCGAGTAGCCCTCCTCGGCCAGCTCGCGCTGGAAGAACTCGTTCAGCTCGGCGTAGAAGACGCCATCAGCCACGAACTTTCTGCGCTTGGAGCTAGAGAAGGAGAAGAAGAGTCAGCAAGGTCGTTCTTGGTCGATGATTTTCTGATTCTCCTTTTTCTTGGAGGGGCCCAAAATCGCATTGAGCCAGGACACCACAGCAAACACGAACGAGTGAAAAAAAAAAAAAAAAGTTCGTGATCCCAGGGTCGAGAGACGCGGGGTGGTGGGATGGGAGGCGAGACAGGCAGGATAGCAAAGCTTACATCTGAGTGCCGGGAGCAGCCATCTTGTCTTCTGTGTCCGGAGTCTCGTGGGTTTCGGAGAATGGGACGTAAGGGAAGAATCGAGAGGGCGATGATGCGGTCGTTAGAGGCGGGTGGTCGGTCGAGTCGAGGTTGTTCAGACACAGGTGTCGCCAGTGCTGGACTCAGAATTTGGTGGGTAGAAAATTGAAAGCCCTAAGCGGAGTGGCCCGTGCGACCAGCCATTCGTCGTGAAAGTCTGGGAGGCAGGAGCAGAGGGACATTGGTGGGGCGCCAGGCGTCTCCACGGTTTGTTCGTTGTGGTCCGTGCACTTCAGTCAGGTGTGCGGAACACATTCCGACTGACCTCGATATTCATGGTGGGGGTTTAGAGGCGAGCATCGACTATAGCAGTCGCATGACGCTTGTTACGGTCAGTTCTGCTTCCCGAATTCTGATCAAGCTCAGCCACGCCCTGTTCAACGTGACTCAAGGTTTCTCATCAGAATACAGTCACAATGTTTGGGACAGTAAGTTAATCAGAAGGCCACGTACAGCATGTGCTGTTAGGAGCAATTGGGAATGCGTCATTGTTGAGGACCCATGACTGGGCAATTTCTGTCGGCTGCTTACCAGGAAGAGTACACCATACTGTGTGGAATTGTGTCGGATTTGGGATTCGTAACAGTGACACTCTATTTGAGCCGACACTTGGAGACATCATTAGACATGTCGTTGTACGTCATATGAATCCAGCAAATTCACATATCCAGGTACCAACGGTGCTCGCCAACGGATACGCGACTTTTTACATGATTTTTTCAGCGACCCGTCTGATCAGACCTATTATGCGGCCTGTCTCTTTCCCATACGAGTCTAGGAAGCTTTCAAGGGGTTCGGAGATGACAAGAAGAAAGCTCCAGCGGTGCCCTGTCGCTTTTATAAGCCTTCACAATGTTAGCGTGTATTGTGACCTTCGAGTTGGTCGAGACACGGGTCCCAACACCAGGAGTACTGGTGAATTATCCGAGCTTGAGCAGCAATGCAGGCTTGTTCGGCCAGCAGTCGACTTGGAATACGGCGAGAAACGAAGCTCAAGGTGTTTTATGCGGGTTTGGGTGTTACATAACTGTTTAGTAGCTCCAACACGTGTTTAGCTGTCATCGTTCATCCACTGCTACCAAAGTGTCTGATACATAATGCAATCTCGCCAACGACGCTCTTGTACGATGTGCGGGCTTCCCTGGATATGTCCTGGATCTGGCTGGCTTATGGCTCTTCTGGGGAGAAAGATGGAGGTATAAAGAACAGGATAACGGGAGCAGTATCGGTACGAGAATGCCAGATTCCGTAGGCCGAGAGCATTCTCAATAGCGCTTTTGATCAAATCATCTGATAATGATTGCAGCAAAGTGATCCGACTACTCCCTTCTCCGAGGTGGACCCTGAGATGTTAGCATTTGTTCACTATGTAGGGCCGGTATCAGGTGAATGTGTAGTCTGAACGGCGGCTACCTTGCTGCTTCTACGCTTGACTCTTTTCCAGCATTTGTAGGTTTCACATTGTATTTTGTTGAACCCTGTCCATGGTCAAGTTTAGTGTCGGTGCGGCCATCCACAGCCTGCACTGGCAGTCGCTTGACAACCAAGGCGCCCCCGCCCTCGGGATCGAGACGTGCGGGTTGCGAGGGTTGTGAACCCGGTACGTGGTAAACTTATCATGGGGGTTGCCGTGGTCCCGTGAATTCACCATATAGGTTCTCATAGTTTTGTCCCTGGCTCGAAATCGCTTTTGCAGAAGTCTATTCGAGCGCTGAACTGCCTCGAGAACGTAAGCTGCTGCTTCACGTTGCATCAGGGACTGGTCAACAGGCCACGCAACAATCCCGAATGCGAGAAAGCCGGCACATGATTATCTATCTGGCTCCAAGGCCTACAGCCTGCTGGAGCATCGCTTTCCTTATGGAATTCACGTATATTGCTAGCTAGATCTAACCCTCTCTTAAGGTATCTTATGATTCTATACCATAGGTCGTAGCCTCTGCGATACAGCGAACTGCCTCTCTCAATAGACAATGGGCCATGTCAGACGACTAGCAGCTCGGTGACAGCATTCTTTTTAGCATGCCAGGGGCCGAGAAAGACTGACGGAAAGTGTCAAAGCGTGGTTTAGAGCAGAGTGAAAGGGTCTTCCACAGGGTCCGCAGGTAGTCAGAATATAGGTATAGGATCGGAATACATCTGGATTCTGGCTCTCCGCAGCTTGGAGGGCCCTCCGCAGGCTATATATACGTCCTCCCGTGGCCCTTAGCCCCCTGACCGGCCCCCTTGTTTGGCGGTCTCCTGGCGGCTCCGCAGGGTGGCCCGACACGAAGATAGTAATCAATTTCATAAATGTCACGAAGGCAAGCTTTCGACTAACAAGGATAACCCCTCGCGTTTTGTCGGCAAAGCGGAGTCAACAAGAAACTCCGGATCCAGCACATTGCAGACCACAGAGAGCCTCGACTCCAGTAACAAGAGAAATACTTAGGGAAATTGATCATGTATATATATCAGACTGATGCGCTCATTTTGGCTGATTCAAGGGAATCTCAATTACGCACTCTCACACTGCAATTCACCACTCTGCCAGATATTACCTC